TTTTTATTATTTTGTTCCATAACACAGATTATGACTTATGTTTTATAGTTTTGACATAATTTTTTTGCTGTGAAGCAAAATTTTGTATATTTTTATTGATGAAAAGTAAATTTGACGATCTCTATTAAAAAATTTATTTCCCTAGAATAAATTATAAATAAATTATTTACAAGTCATAATTATTTTACAACAGGAAATCTTATAAGGGCAAGAAACTAGTTTTTCTATTCCCCTATTTAAGCATTACGACAAACACTTTATTATGCTACGAAGCAGTTTTAAACTAAAATTAATTTAATTTAATTAAAAGAAATTTAATTTAAATAACTTAATTAATAATTTTAATTGAAAATTAAAATTGCCTCAAAATAGCATCTAATTCAGTGGTTCAAAAATATTGAAAAGACTTCGTTATACATGGTTTCATTTCTATGAAATATTAACTATCGCAAGAGAAATTATTAGGATTGTGACAAAAAAAAAAGCGAGAATACCGACGGTGTCCTGAACATTAACTATATTTATTACAAACTTTCAAAAGACAAAACCACATAATTTGAAAGTTTAGTTTAAGCATTAAATAGATTTCAAATATTATTAAAAATCTTATTGAGCATAAAAGCAACTGGTTGATTAAGAAGTTTTTCTATGCTAGCAAACTAAACGTAGAAACCTCACACCAAATATTAAATGTCTAACTTGCTTTATTTTCAATTTTCCAAATATTTCAGATCTATTATGTTGAGATTCAGCAGATTTTCTACTGCCATACATTTCAAGCCTTCAAGTAATTCTATCGATTTATATAAATTTCAACTCTGGAACATTGGCAACAATGTTCTTACAAAATCCAAACTAACTTTTCTCTGTATTTAGAATTTGTCATTCAAAAACTATTTTTAACTTTTTAATATTCAATGATGTTTCTTTTATCAATTTTATTTAAAATACAAGCTTATTGTATAAAATATTTTTATTAAGAACCACAAGAACTCATATTAGCATACAGCAAACATTAATTCATTGTAACAAATGAATAAAAATATTCGTGAGAAAAATAAATTTACATAAACATACCTTAGAACATATTTGATTATAATTTTACAAGATTCAAATACACTTGCTATAGTTTCACAAAACATTGGAAACAGTTTAAAAATAATAAGAATTTTCCACAAGAAAGTAATTTTTTGTAGTCTTTATATAAGTTAAGTATATAGTTAAGTAATAGTTAAGTATATATTTAAGCATATAGTAGCATAGTTTAAGAAATCCGTGGATAAAAGAGGGAAAAGCTTTGTTTTTAGTAAATATTTTTAATAAATCAAAACTACATAAATTTGAAATTATAGAGAAATAAACTATTAAAAAGTTTTTTAATAACCAATATTTATATCCTTGGAATTCTTCATGAAGATATAAATTTGAACGAAATAGAATGTTATTAAATCTTTAATCATACATTTAGGTTTCTAAAAGGTTCTAAAGTGCGTGTTATAAAATTTTCAAAAATAGCGAAGCATATTAATTTTGCGATTTTTTGAATCTTTTGAACAACACTTAAGACATGTAATTACTATTAAAATGCGTATAAATTACAATTTTGATTTAATTTTCGACATAAAAAGCGTACAGCTAAAAGAACTTATGATTCAGATCATTAAAACAAAGGTACACAGCTAAATGTCTTAAAGCATTGGAGCATATCGCTAAAGTAAATATCTATACGAAATACTTAAATAAATTTTTTTAAATCTGTAGTTTTTCTCAAAATTATATACACAGATTATGAAAAAATTAAAATGTATATGCATTTAAGTCCTTGATACATATCGCGGCAATATATATATATACATATATAAAACGAAACAGATTGCAATTAAAATTAAAATTTTAAATACCGTATGGAAACAAAACTCGCTAAAAGATGCATTTTAAAACCTTGATTTATCTGAAATAAAATAGAAGTTTCCAAATTACGAAATTTCCACTCTCGACCCACTTTTCCCTCTTTGTCACCATGGTTTCGCAAAATTTTGTTTTCCCCTAGGCAGTATGGTTCACAGTAAACAGTTGGACTCAGTTTATGCGTGGGGATAAAAGCTACACTTATGGTAACCATGGCAAGGAGGAGAAAAGTCTGGAGATAAAGAAATTGTGTAACCTTAATTTTTAAATCCTTTGAATCCTTGCGCAATTGCAAACTGCTAAGACACGTATACTTGAAATTTTTCATTAAGTACTGTCCTTTTGCTTCCTTGGTGCATCTCGTGAGTTTTATTTTCAATCGCTCTCCTCGTAATTTGATCTGTGAACTTCGGCTACAGTCACAAAAGTAGATGAGATTGCTTGTTCCTCTGATGATATTGATGGATTGAGACTGTGTGTTAATTCTGCGTGTTCCTCTAATGATCCAGATGGATGGCGACTTCTGATTGTTAATCCTGCGTGTTCCTCCAATGATCCCGATGGATGGTGACTTCTGAGTGTTAATCCTGCGTGTTCCTCCAATGATCCCGATGGATGGCGACTTCTGAGTGTTAATCCTGCGTGTTCCTTTAATGATCCAGATGGATGGCGACTTCTGAGTGTTACTTTTGTGTGTTCCTCTGATGATCTCGATGGATGGAGACTTCTATGTTCTGCTTGCGGAAGTAAATTACTTTCGTCATAACTATCTTGCTCACTCTCAATGAAAGAAGTCTCAGAAACAGCAGAATCTGGACTTTGCTGAGAACATAATTTTTCGTAATTTCGACGGAATTTTTTATTATTTTGACGGAGGTTTCTCAATGCTTGTCTGTCTTCCGACTGTGTTATTCTTGAATGTGGCCAAGGTTCTAAATGAGGACCCTTATAGAACCAATTCATAAACTGCTCAGATTGATAGGCAGCAATAGCAGATTCAATGTCAGATGCGTCACTTGATGCAGGAGTTTCAATAGTATCCATTGCGTTTAACATTTTTATTGCTCTTTTAAGTAATTCGTTAAGAGTCGAAACAAACTGAAAAAAAAAACATTAATATCAGGAAAAAAATCCAAAACGAAAATTTCTAAAGCTATATATATATTATATAAAATGTTAGAATTTTCGGCTTTTCTGCACTTAAATTTTCATTTTTGATTGGTATTAATTTTAAATTGCTCAGTTTATTGTTTGCTCGCGTTGCTTTTAAAATTTGATTATCAAGTATTGAGTAAATTTTTTTTCACGTCAGATATGTTCGTACTTTGGTTTTATTTAGGGAATCTGTTAAGCATTGAACAATTGAATTGTTTATGATTTAAAAAATTCATAAAATCATCGACTTTTAAAGAAAAAAAAAAGTCTAATTTTTCTAATGCTTTAGATGGGCTATAAAATTCCAATGTATTCCGAGTCTCGGCAAAACCATCGAAAACAAAATTCATCGAGGAAAATTAGTTTAAATTTAGAAGGCGATTAAGACTGGTTGACCGACAGCTCCTTCGAAGCATTACATTTTGGTTTCGTCTCGGCAGTCTATGTACTTTTCTCTTGTTGGCTAACAGTGAGTTTGAAGGGCTCAGAGCACTGCGAGACATTCTCAGCCTCGTTCCAAAATTTTAATTCTCGAATTTACAGTTCAGGCAGCTGCTTTTATTCTCATTCCTCTCAATTAAGCACATATTGTTTTTGATTTAAACAGATCTTTCACACAGACCATTAGATTTCTGCAACTCCTAGTCTGCAGCACTTCTAGCATCGTAGTTTTCTTAAAGTTTTATTTTTCTTCCACTCTTCTCAAGGCAGTTTTGTTAAATCTCTTTTGCTCCAAAACTCCTTTTGAAAGTGCTTTGATTTTCAAATATAAAATGATCGGACCGAAAACAAAACACATTTTATCATTCTGGAACAATCTAAATTTTTCGACATAACGCAGTGAGTTTAGACTCATTAAATTCAAAAGTTTTTCAATAAATAAAACTCCCATCTCTCAATTTGAAACTCTAAAATTGGAAGATAATGTAGCATTTATGAAAAATGGAGAAAATAGCAAATTATTGCAACGTTGACGAGAAGAGACTAAATTAAGCGGAAAATGTGATGCTATAGAACAGTGTTTCCCAAACTTATGATTTTTGTGTACCCTTAACTTTTTCGTAACGCCGTGTACCACTATTAAAAAAATGAACATTTTCTTTTAAAAATTTGTTTATTTTCCTTTTTGGTACAAAGTTTTGTTAATAAATTTATTTGCATCAGTGAGAAGGATGATATTGTTTTTGCTGTGATAAAAAATTGTACCAAAAGTTAAAAATCACAACTGGCTGTTGACACCACTAATTATTAACTGCTAACTCTGCAAAAAAAATAGCCAATAGAAAAATACGTAATCGTAGATTTATTTTTGAATAAAATTTTTTTAAATTTCCGTTGTTGCAAGATATTTCGCATAAGAACGCGTACCCCCGCTAAACTGTTCCTGTACCCCTGAGGGTACGTGTACCACACTTTGGGAAACACTGCTATAGAACGATGAGTGGAAGCAAATTACGTCTTCTAATAGAAATAGCAAGATATTAAGTTTGCTATAGAAACCTTTAAATTGATAGAATACCTAAAATATTGGATAATGGTCGAGCCACTTGGCCAAAATATCATTTTCTAAAAAGAGGGCCACCAAATTTATGGATATTGACTGTTTGGAGAAAAAACCTTATAACTATTAGTTGAGCTAACTGGAAAACCTGAGCCAAAAATAATGGCATGGAATGAAATTCTGGGGAAAACCAGGACACATCCGTTGTTTTCATGCCAATGAAGATTAAAAAAATTTAACCTTGATGGTCAGGATGATTGCAAATACTACTGCTGTGACTTGAAATATGGAGCGAAAATAATGCTTCAGGGGACAAAGGAAAAGAAGTTCATTGAGCTTCTAAATGAGAATGATTTGATTTTTTAATTATTGTTAGATACTTTTGTGTTTACTTCTTCATATGTTGCGATATTGCTCATTTCCTTGGTTTAGGTCCCTGAACCAAATTTAAAAGATCATGTATCAAAAAGCCTGAATTCAGCAATTACCCCTACAGAGAATATGAGGAGACAATATAGGTGAGCCCTGACAATAAGCATGTCTTTTCAATTCTGTGAAAGGTTTCACTTTCTATGTGACTTGTCCTAAGTAAAGATAAGGTAGTTTGAGCAAATTTTTGAATGAAGGGCAACAGGAAAAAAAAAACAAGCGCAATTTGCGACGCACCATGCATGTATTAGGGAATCTTTCAATTGGTATTTATTTTGGACAGAAACAGAAATGCAGAAGCCATTCATTGCATTTCTTCATACTATGGGGCATGAAACAAAGTCCACTAGATTTGAGTAATAAGAAGTTTATGAAACTGCCAAAAGGTAACTTAATAAAATATTTCATGTTCCTTATTTTTCATTTTCATTTCAAATACCATCAAACGAGAATAAAGAGTTATTTTTCAAAAGCGTTCGCGTTGTTAAAAGGCCTCTTCCAATTCAATTCAAAAGTCGGTGAGAACGGGAAGGGAAAGTTATAAATATTCTTTTAATCCTTTTTATTTAATTTAAAAACTAAACTAATGAATATTTACTCTATTTTGTAGTATCTTTTGATATATGTTAAATGCAAGGCCGATACCCAATTTGAAATATTAAGTGTGTGGTATTTTAGATTCTCCATTAATTTTTTCTGATGAAATTAAAGCAATAAAATTCTGCAATCAGTTTTTGATTTGTAGTTGAATAGTGTACAGTTGCTTGTTCTTAGATAAGATCTTATGCATGTTCTTATGCAATTAACGTAAAAATTTTTTTTTGCTACCTCCAAACCTGGTTTCATGAGTTTAAACTTAATAAAACTAAGTTTTAAAAAGTAAAAAAAAACTGAGTAAGTCGAAAACTTAAGTGTCGTTTTAAAATTATTTACTCGAAACTACAAATTACACTATTTTAGTGCTTTTAAGTTTTGAGGAGAAAATTCCCAGAAGTTCTAAAAAATATCAAGTACAATTTCTAATCTAAAAATCAACCCTTTTATTTTCTAACTTTTTTGAAAGGTATTGTTCTTATACCATGTCATCAAAATCTTGTTAAGTATGAAAAAATAAACACATATTAAAAAATTTATCTAAAATCCAAGATGAGTGTAGAGGCCTCCGTAGCAAAAAAAACAAATCTTAAAATATTAAAGTGATAAAACTAAACTAAATTCCGAGCAATATATTGGGCGCTGGGTCTACTATGATGGTAATTTATCCTGAAGTTGATTATGGATTGGGATATACAGTGGATTAATTCGCTAAGATTTTCCAATAATTTACTATTTTTCAATTTTACTGGGCATTCAATTGTCTTATTTGCCAAATGAACTGAAAAATAGAGGTAAATATCGCTTTAATACCAAGAAATATCAGCATAAGTCAAGTTACTGAACTGAAAATTATGAAAATAGGATCGATCACTGAAACTGCTATTTATAATTTATTTGCTGCTAACGACGTTCAATATTTTTGCAAATTTAGAATTTTAAAAATATTTTTTCTTTCTGAAGGATGAAAAACTGAAAAATTTAATCCTAAGTTCAAGCAAAAATTACAGGATTTTATTCTATTTTATAACCAGCGTTGAGCAGCGGACCAAATTTTGAATTTTTAACAGTCAATATTCATCTCCGCAGCCTTGTCATTTTGAACCCGACCTAGAAGACATGGAACTTTCAGGATCAAGCATTGAGGCAAACTTTCCTTCCTGGAGGACTTTCAGATGGATATTTAACGTAAGCACTATTGATGGTGCCAGGTGGATTAGATTTCGTATCAATCAGCCTTTGCAGGTCACTGCCATAATTAGGCGAATGCGCTAATAAGTGAAGTTCATTAGTTAAATCATTTCTAATGTTTTTTTTTTTTTTTTTTTTTTTTTTTTTTTTTTTTTTTTTTTTTTTTTTGGTGTTTCATTCACAATAATGAAATATTACGATGATACTACTTTTGATATAAAAAGTAAGTCAGCATGCAATTAGTTTTTAATACGTAATTGACCAATGTCACCATACAAGTGACATGATACTTGTCACATACCGTTTATATAGTTGCTGAAATTTTATTTTTTGATATAGTTACAATTAATTTATCTATAAATATAATAACAAAATTTATATTATACTTTTATATTTTGGAAAAATGACTTCGAATATTTTGAAGCTTTAAGGGTTAAAGGAAATGTATACACAGCAAGTAATTTTATTAAGTCTTTTTGATAAGAGTACTTATAAGATTGATACTTACAATTCCTGCCGCAGTAACCAGTGTGAGTGCACAAACTGGCCAAAGTTTACCAAGGCCATACTCGTAGAAGTAATATACATCGAGTGATGGTATAATTAAAAAAAATACTATGTAATAAATTGTCCAACACAACGCAGGTTTATACTTTATTACTGTGCAATCTTCTCTGGCCTAGAATTAAAAAAAAAAGTTTGAATATAACAATAATATAATAACATAAATTGCGAAATTTTTCTAGGACAAAATCTCTGCCAAAAAAGAATCTAGTTTTAGAAAATCTTCGGTCTAATATCACAATACATTTTCATAAAATCTAAGGGGTTCTAATAATCGGAGTGGCGATAAAACGGGAAAATTACAAAACATCGTTCTGCTAACTGCGTTGAGATTGTGAAAAACCGCAAAACTACTGGCATGGCCTCAATTTAAAGAACCAGTGGAACCTCAATGTATCATAAATAACAAAAAATAACGGATGTCGGGAAATTGCAGTATGACCATCGTGTAACGTTTTCAACGGGGTTACGCCATATCTCTAGTTTCTGTGTTCTGGTACGCCTGTACACACAGTTTTATGTTTACGTAGCCTTTGACTGAGGTTGCTTCGCAAACATCAAAAGCACACTTTGAATCCTACAGAGTGCACTAGAATTATTTCTATTTCGTTGTAGACTGTGCAATGATGTTGGAGGATATCGCTTTGAACGATTCTTGTAGTAACCATCGTCATAACTGTTGACTGTGGTTTCACTGGTAAACTTCGAAAGCACCCTTTGCATTCTTTAGTGATGTCAGAGGATACCACTATGAACTTTTCTTGTAGAAACAATTCCCATAACCGCTGGCTGTAGTTTCTCCGGCTAACATCAAAAGCGCACTTTGCATCCTAAAGTGATGTCAGAGGATACCACTGTGAAATATTCTTGTAGTAACAATTCCTATAACCGTTGGCTGTAGTTTCTCCGGCAAACATCAAAAGCGCATTTTGCCTTCTCCAGTGCACGAGAATAATTTTTATTTCGTTGTAGACTGTGCAGTGATTTCAGAGGATATCACCTTGAACTATTCTCTTAATAATTAAATAAATCTTTCGCAGATGGCAAATTTTTTGTAACTTTAAAACTTTTCCAACCTGACAACGAAACCTACAAAGGGTTTTTAGTGATCTTTTCCAGTTTTAACTTTTTTTTCAGTCCCATGTTATTCCCAGTCCCATGTATGATTATCTTGAAGCTTTTCATGCCTCTTAAGTTCGTCTACTGAATTTTGGAGCATCCACGGTAAAAAATTAAGGAAATTCCAGAACATTACTGAATTATTCTGTAAAATTTGAATATAAAGACTAACATTAGTTCATATATTATATGTTACTGAGGTATTTCTGAATTTTTCTTGCATTAACCCTAGATTTAAAGTAAATATTTGATTTTAAAATACGCCTGTATTTTTCTGATGCGTAACAAGTCTGCTTGCATGGACAATACTATTAGGCTTTATTTTAAAACTAGAAGGTACTGAGCAAGAAATTATGGCCCCAGCTCTCTTTCCTTAGCCTCTGTAATTTCTCATTAATCATTTTTTTTAAATCTTAAAAAGCAAATACATTTCAAACAAAAACGAACATTCAAGAAAGTATACAGTTATTGCAGCTTTTTTTAATAGAATATGTTGTCAATACTTTAATTATGGCAGCTTTGACTTTTAAAGGTATTTTGAAAAAAAAAATATATAGAATAGATACTGTTACTCAATCTGAAGAAATACACGAGAAACAATTTTACCCGTTAATGAGACTCCTATCAGTTTAAAGGATTAAAACTTTTAATAAGTTTTCATTTAAAAAAAAATTTCAATATGAAGTTGAGATTTATAATTGGGAATATCTAAACTATTGCTTTTGACTTTAACTAAAGTGCGTGCTGATAAAATCTCGAGAGATAGGTGGGACAACTTGCAGCCCTTTTTTTGCATTCATCATGGCCTAGCATTTTATTTTTTATTATGTAACCGCAGTTGAAAAGCTGACCCAATTGTGAGTTTATGACCGGCAATGTTTAACTCCGTATCCTTGTAATTCTGAACTCAATCCAGGAGACAAGGGAACTCCTGGATCACTCATTGGGACTAACTAGCCTTCGTGGAGTACTTTTTGATAGAATTAACCAGCATTTGCGTTACATGTAGAGTAAAATCCCTAAAACGTATAATTAGTCCTTACGGCAAGAGGACTAACCAGTGATCCGTCTACCACTGAGGATATTTTTGTCAGCATTGTGGTTTGCGCAAACCGGGTGCGGAATTCGTATCAACGAGTCATTACTGGGATTTGAACCCGGAACACTTCATTGAAAGTCTAGTGCTCCATCCCCTAAGCTACCATGACCCAGACTTATGGTATTTTAGTGGTAGACATTGTGGTGGTCGGAATGAAAAGAAAGTATCAAAGAGGCATTTTGCAGCTATAATGTACCTAAGCAACCTGTGCAGAGAACTGAAGAAACTAAAAAACTAGTACTAAATTTTCTATACGAACAATTGAAAACTGCTTTATCTTTCCAAATTAATATTATTAGAACAGAGATCTCTCGGAGGCATTATTCAAATAAATTTTTTTCTGCAAAAAGTAAAGCGATGAGTTTTCAAATCCTCATTAGAAATTTTGCTAGTATTTTTTTTTTATTTTATTTATTTATTATTTATTAATTTTTTTTTAAGAACGCGGGTAACCTAAATACACTTAAAATTTCGAATTCATAAGGGGCTATAAATTTTAAAATGCCTATAGTTAAAACTATTAGAACCATATTTTACAAATTGTTGCTGCTCCTTCTCCATATATTTGGGATCAAAAACCCGCATCCATCGAAATTGTACCTTGTTTTATATTTTTAAAATTTACTTTATTTGAAGGATGCTAAATCTAAACGTTAAAAATTTCTTTCAGCTTGAGCTGCACGCAAATAAATGTTTTTCTTATAAGTCAAAAAACTTGTTAAATTTTCAACGTACGTGGCCAACATTTTCAGAACGATAATTTAGACAAAACAAGTCTTTAAAACGAATACATATTGTAAGAATACTTATGAAAATTGCTAACAAAAATGTATAATGTTTAAATGCTTTTTCCCTAGGCAAAATATATTTGATAGTAAATTTGTGTCATTAAAAAGTTTTGTAGTTTTAAGGAAACGATAGAATTAAACAATCATAATTAGAAACAAATTAAAGATTAAATTGTAGAACTGAAGATATATAACGTCAAGTTTCTCGAATAAATATATTATGTCCAAGTTTTATGTAGATTAAAATTTTCGATGGAAACTCTGCCTTGATCAGACTAAATTTTCATGAAGATAAATTAACGACTCAATACGCAAAACTGAATAAAAATATTAATTAAAACAATTTTTTTTACTTTGTTATTTACAAAAATATGTACAAAAATTGCAAACATAATTCTATTTATTTATTCTACCCAAGCACGATACAAACAGGGATAAAATTTACGAATTCAGAAATATTTCCCGAACATACATACAAAAAATTGTAAACATAATTCTATTTACCGATTCTACCTAGGCATAATACGAACAGGGATAAAATTTTACAAACATATGTACAAAAAAATTATAACATAATTCCATTTACCGATTCTACATAGGCACGATACAAACAGGAATAAAATTTGCGATTAAAGAGATAACGGCACATCTTAGATTGAAATGAATCATACACTAGGAATATTCAAAGATACAAAGAAAGGTTAAAAAGTCTTTGATCAACAATTTAGGTGGAGTTGAGTTGTTGAGACAGGTAGATAGATACTTTATTAACATCTCATACTCATATGTGTTGGTTATCTTAGCGTCAGCCCCGCTAGGGGCTCTAACAAATTCATCTAAGTGGAAATAAATAATAAATCGCCGAAGCGCAACTGAAAGGTGAAAGTTGGGGTTCAGTATCTTTTACTGAGAGAAAATTAAAATTAAGTATTGTGATTGAACAAACAAGTTTAAGAGAGAGAAGAGGNCTTTACGGTAGAACAGTTTAACGAGGACCAATACCGCACACCCTCGGTCCCTACGCAGACTGATCCAAGTGGCCACTCACCAGCACACTGACCGCAGCCAATGCTGCTTGACTTCGGTGATCTGCTGTGAACCGTGTCTAAGCGATCAGTTCACTGCGGGGCGTATTTTTGAATTGTTGAAAAAGATCTATGCTTTTCGATTTTATCACCCGGGCTTTAAAGGGGCAAACAAGATCAGTAATTGGAATTGAATACTGATATTTGATGGTGCACATAAATATGCAAGCGTACAGCTTATACTACCGTGTCCTGTTGAAGACTAGAAATCAGAAATTAGGGAAGAAAACCAAAAAAAAAAAAAAACACCCAGAAAGGTTACATCTGGAATCGAACCAGCTACTTCCACGGTGCAAAGAGTTAACAAGGAACGGTGAGACAGATGAGATAGCGGTTTCAGACATTAGGTCAGGAGGTGTAGACCTAATATGAGTATGGGTGAAATCTGCAAAGCACTATCTGGGACATTTTTCAGGGAATTCTTGGTTATAGTTGCAGTTTTTTTAAGTCACACTAGAGTTGCAAAATGGGCTATTGGCAACGGTGTGGGAAACATCCCTGAGGATGATCTGAAGACATACCATCACAATTTTGATCCTCTGCAGAGTGAATGGCACCCCCTTTTTGGTAACCCGACGACCTTCGAGCCGCTTTCTCAATTTGGACTTAGATCTGAATGGGAAGGAAATTTTCTGCAGATACCTCAAGGTACTGATCAGAAGCCGCCACAGGACTTTCGATTCCACAAATTTTATGAACACGTATATCGTATTAGCGGAGTCGAAGATCGGACCCCATCCCCTTCAGACCGGAGTTCAATTCTGTAACCATTGGGCTATCATGGCCATGAAAGATTCGAAGGATAATGATTGTTGTTGTTGTTGTTCATCCACGTCGCACTATATCTGCACAATGGGCTGTTGGTGACGGTGTGGGAAACATCCCTGATGATGATGCGAAAACATGCCATCACAATTTTGATCCTCTGCACAGGGGATGGCACCCCTGCTTCGGTGGCCCGACAACCAGCACGCAAATAAGAGCACTTTACCGTCGAACAATTTAATGAGGATCAATACCGTGCATCCTCGGTCGCTTGGGAGACTGATCCAGTTGGTCACCCACCTGCACACTGACAATAGATAGTTATGCTTGACTTCGGTGTTCTACTGGGAACCGTGTCTTAACGATCAGCCCCACTGCGAGACGGGAATTCTTAGAAATCAATATTTTTGAACGATATTTTTAGCAATAGTACTATATTAACGTTGTAATAACACTGCACAAAGAGATATTGGTGACGCGGATAATCCCCACGGATGATCCGAAGGAAATGCCGTCACAATTTTGATCCTCACATAAAGAATGGCTCCTCCATTTTTTTAGCTCGACGATCTGCGCAGGAAATCGAGCTCTTCACGAACAGTTTAACGGTGATCGTTAAACTGCACCCCTCGCCTCTAATTGGAATGAACGAAGTAGCTCCTTGACCAAAGCATGTGATGCTTGTCTTTGATGTTCTATTGGGAACCATGTCTTACGATCAGTATACTGCTGAACGCAAGAAATTGGAATTGAATACCGATATTTATTGTTACACGTAAACATGCAGACATATGTGCACAGAAAAAAATACGGCTTATATTCCCTTATCAAGTTAACGACAAGATATTAGAAGTTTGAGATGAACTCCACAAAAATACATCCAGGAATACGGCAGATAATCGAACCCACTACTTTTGCAGAGTGCTTGGAGGAAACTGGAACGTTGATCCAGGAAGCCTTGGAATTTAATTTGTTTTAACGTTATATTCGATATTTTTATTATTGATTAACCTTAGATTTGATATTTTTGCTTGCTTATTACTCGCCTTTTGGTTCATCAAGTTGAGCTGACAAAAACTCTGGATCTAGGGCTGCGTATAAGAAAAAAAGTCGTAAGTTCGGGTCTTAAAATCTGAATTTCTAAAATCTAACACTTAAAATCTAAATTTTTCTTCTTCTTGAATTGTGGTGGAGTAGGTCAGAGGTTTGCGTCTCAAAAGAAGAGGATCTCTTTTATCTATTTTCAAGCTAATGGAATGTAGATACGTGATTTAAAGCAAATAAAATGTTGTTAATTATATTAAAATTTGCACTATACCGAGAACTTTATATCAGCGAATGATGTCCTAATCAAGACTACGCTATACAGCGGCTGAAAGTCTTCAAAGCAAATTCTGTTTTGCCTTTATTGGCAATTTGAAATTCAAAAAATGGAAAAAAGTGTGTTCATATAAACCAAGAGTAAACGCTAAAGCTTCATATTTTGAATTATATTCTTCAAAATATTAAAATGCAAATAAATTAGGGCAAGATTATTCCAGAGTTCCCCGTTAGAAAGTAATCTCGCCATAATTAGTTTTCGTTTGGATATTAATAATTGCTTCCTGATTACTCTTAACTTATCAGAACTCACTTTTTCAAAAATTTTAAATTATCATTGCAAGAGAAACAGAATTTGCCATGAAGAGTTTTTTTCTCCTGTATAGACACATAATACTCGCAGTTTAGTGTTAACAACTGAACATAGTGTTCTTTAAAAATCTAAACAGTCAGTTTAAAGCTTGAACCTGCAATCTTTTCTGTTTCAGTTCTAAATCTTGCTCCCTCATTCCCTCAAGGTGGCAGAGAAGTTCACAAGATTACAAAAGCTCAATTTGATTACTACTTGCAGAACAAGCACGTATTTTTGATCGATATAGTTGAGATTAAGAGACAGTTGTCAGAGACAATGAAAACAATTTATTTGCTTGCAGAAAATTTAGAATTACACAGTGCTTCATAAAAAAAATGTATCATATGTCAAAGTGACAAAAAACATTTGAAGTACGAGCTGCAAATTTCCTGTAGAATGTTTGAGATACCAAGCAAAGCAAGCAAGTAATATAGAAATGTTTAATCAAAGCAGTGCAGAGCCTGAAATAAAAGAGGTAGATTTGAATAATGTTGACAAAATTTTCCTGTCATCATAATCGTTACCATTGATGTGATAACCCAGGGTGGTCGTGGCCCTTTCAAGGATTCTCGTCTTTCCCTGACCTGCTTTCAGAAACGATTCTCCAGTTTTTACAGTTCAAGGAGTAGGTTTCAATGATACAAATTAAAATTTTCAGGTCCCACAGTGGACTGATCGTAAGGACACGGTTCCCAGAAGAACACTGAAGTCAAGCATCAGTGACTGTGGTCAGTAAGTGGGTGGGTGACTCCTTTGAATAGGGACCAAGGGTGCGCGATATCGATCCTGGTAAAACTGTTCTACTGTAAAGTGGTCGACTTCGCGTAGGTCTTCGGGCTACCAAATTAGGGGAGTTGTCCCTTCTGCAGAGGATCAAAATTGCGATGGCAGATATTTGAATCATGACAGGGATGTTTCCCAGACCGTCACCAATAGCCCATTGTGCAGCTCTAGTGCTACGTAAATTAAGTACCTACCTACCTAATTATGTTGGTGAAAAATAATTTCAGTGCTATGGTGGCCCAGTGGTTGGAGAATAGACACAGTTTCTGAGGCGCTGGGTTCGATCCTCGACTCCGCTAAGACACACAGCGATATACGTACTCGTAAAATCACTGAAAGTCCTGTGGTTTGTTGCTGAGCGCAGTGAGTATAAGGATTTGGAGAAACTTTCCTACCCCTTCAGGTCCATGTTTAAATTGAGGAAGTGACCACATGAATGAGTGGTGATGTCACATATTTGTGGGGTTCTGAGCTAAGACTGACTTTAAACCTTTCGGTGCTTTCTTGTCAAACAAATTTCGCACCTTACTTGATTCGCAAAAATCAAATTGCTCTCAAGCTTGGATTATCAAAGTGTCCTTAGAAACAGCGCAACCAACAAAATAAATTTCCCATTAAGGGCTTCTCCCCTCTTATGATATATCATGTGAAACATTAAGAATGAATCTTAGTCATGCATAAACATATGTGGGTGCCCAATGCTAACTCCCAGATTCGGAGATGATGAAAAAAGGCTTGTAATATTGTAAAATTTCAAAAGGGGACAAAATAATCTTTTTGAATTTAAAGAAAAAATATTGATTGGTTTATATTAATAAAACTTTTATCTCATATTATAATTTATTTTTCGAAAATAAATGGAAATTATTTTGTAAAAATTAGATTTTTCAACAAAATATTGTTAAGTTTTTTAATTGTCAAAAATATAAATTTTAATAACCTAAAAGTTCATTATTAAATTCGTTTGAAAATGTTGCTTAATTTGCTTTATAAAATATTTAGTTTTAGCTATTTCTTTTCCTGATCAAAAATGTAATTTCTTAACCAAAATTATCTACTAATCTAGCATCAGAATTAAAATTTCAGTGAACTTATTCGTCACCTTTGCCTTCCTCTCTGCATGAGACTGTTTATCTTAGTACTTAAAAATCCATTTATTAGATCCCAAGTTATTCAATATATTACTTTTTTATTTTGCATGCTGCTTGGCAAGTTGATGCCATAAACTAATGAATTTAAAAATTAATAATCAAGGAAATATCACTGCAATTATTGTAAATCAGAAAACTGATTCAGTAATTTCTGCACAGATTAATTATGATAAAAGGTGAAAATCTGATAATTAGAGCCAAAGTTATTTAAAGTTAAAACTTTTTTTTAGTTCACAGTACATTAAATTTAAGCATTTCGTCCTCAATTTTTTTTTTGTAATGTCGTGAAGGCAGTATTCGTTTACAAATATGATAAGATTTTCATGTCCGTGATAAGATTCCTACGTGTATTCGAATTTGTATTTTCCCCAAAATAAGAACAAGGAAAAGTTTTCACAAGCAATTGTTTTTCAAAATTATAAATTAATTTATTACAATAAGCTTTCTAAAAATGCAACAAACAGTTTGATTTCGCGTAAAATATAACATTAACCATAAACTATTGCATACTTATTGGAAGTATTTTGTAGATCATTTCCAATGGAATAGTGTCCAAAGAAAATTCATCAATATTTGAGTTCGTCAAACTATTACCATTATCTATAAGTCCATTTTCCAAAATGGTACTTTCTTTCTCGACCAAAGACTTTATGCTAATTTCCTGTTTAGAAATTTCTGAGAATGTGTCTAATACTGCATCAGTAACTATTGATGCCGACTCATTCTTAGCTTTTGGTGATAGAGTACTTGATGAAGCATCGGATAATGATAATTTTGAAATCAACATTTCATTCGATTGAGACTGAATTATAGGGATCTGTAATGTGAATTCACGTTGCTGTTCTACGAGAACTTTGTCACTTGAAAGCTTCTCTTTTTTTCCTGACATAAGAGTTTCTGAAAGCATGGCATCTTCAGACGCGGAGGATTCTGCAGTCGAGTTTTCGAGTTCAGACACAGGAGGCAATGAAGGCAATTTTATGAGCTCAGCTATAGGAGATGCTGTAGGTAAGATCCTACGTTCAGTTATGCTAGTCTCTGAAGGTAAGATCTCGTGCTTACACATGGAAGAGACTTCGAATTCAGACATTGAAATAACAGATGGCACGTTTTCAAACTCACGTACGGAAGACTCTGAAAGTAATATCTCGCGCTCAGGCATGGAAGACTCTGAAGATAATATCTCGCGCTCAGGCATGGAAGACTCTGAAGATAATATCTCGTGCTCAGGCATGGAAGACTCTGAAGATAATATCTCGTGCTCAGGCATGGAAGACTCTGAAGATAATATCTCGTGCTCAGGCATGGAAGACTCTGAAGATAATATCTCGTGCTCAGGCATGGAAGACTCTGAAGATAATATCTCGTGCTCAGGCATGGAAGACTCTGAAGATAATATCTCGTGCTCAGGCATGGAAGACTCTGAAGATAATATCTCGTGCTCAGGCATGGAAGACTCTGAAGATAATATCTCGTGCTCAGGCATGGAAGACTCTGAAGATAATATCTCGTGCTCAGGCATGGAAGACTCTGAAGATAATATCTCGTGCTCAGGCATGGAAGACTCTGAAGATAATATCTCGTGCTCAGGCATGGAAGACTCTGAAGATAATATCTCGTGCTCAGGCATGGAAGACTCTGAAGATAATATCTCGTGCTCAGGCATGGAAGACTCTGAAGATAATATCTCGTGCTCAGGCATGGAAGACTCTGAAGATAATATCTCGTGCTCAGGCATGGAAGACTCTGAAGATAATATCTCGTGCTCAGGCATGGAAGACTCTGAAGATAATATCTCGTGCTCAGGCATGGAAGACTCTGAAGATAATATCTCGTGCTCAGGCATGGAAGACTCTGAAGATAATATCTCGTGCTCAGGCATGGAAGACTCTGAAGATAATATCTCGTGCTCAGGCATGGANCAAAAAGGAGCTGTTTCGAAATAAGCTTTGATGTTTTGATTTTGATTTTTTCTAATTAATTCGTTAGGATTCAAGAACGTTTTTGAATTTTCATTGTTTAAATACTGAATTGCGACCACAGTGTTTAACTCTATTTATAATAAAGAATCTAAAAACATTAAGAGCTTTCATTATGGAACACCCAATGAAAATTTGTTGAAATTGGAAATTGTAATTGGATAGCATTAGAGCTTTATATCTGCAAAGATATCAACAGCTCATTGAAAGATCCTGCGTACTTGAATACTAATATATGTATATCTACTTACCGTTCTTATGTTAGACACTTCTTTGAAATTACTCGTTATTTCATCAGCAGTTTCTTCAATGTGTAAGTCTGTTGTCTTTACTCTTTTTGATTTATTAAAAGAAAATACCTAGTAAAGAAAGGTTTCAAAATATTTTTTAAATAACTAGATTTGGGATAACAAAATAGTGATTAAAAGATAATAAATAAATTTGTTCAAGAATCAAAAATTTTATACTAAAATCTCGATCTTGCAAGTACGGCATATTACGATAAGAGAGACCTAAAAGTAGGTAACTGTACCTAATGGTATAAAATTAAACAGTGATATCTAAGTCTGACATTGAAATAAAAAAGGAAAAATTATGAGAGATTATATGAAAGTCACTTTTCTTTGAATAGTAGAACCCTTCTGAAATCACAAGCTCATGAATAAATTTGTTCAATTAGAGAAGTAAAGCACGTGAGTTTTTTTTAAAACTTTCATTATTTTCTGCTAATTAGATACTTTGAAATATTTGAAGTTTTAGAAGGATGTATTACCTATTTATGTTAGCAACATAAAAATTTGAATTCTTTTGATTTCTGAATACCACTTTGATCAAAATTTATTTTCCTTCTTTTTGCGTTATTTTGAATTTTAAGTTAAAATATTGATTTTTGTTTTCTTGATGTTTTCATACTAAACGAAATTATAGCGTTAAAGATAGTTATGTCAGCGCAACAGCTCTTATAAAAGCGAGATTAAAAATTTCCCTCGTGTACTTTAGTTTATTATACTGTTTGTAAATAGGAGTCTCAAGCTTTGGTAGTTTTCCCACTCTCCACATTTCCCCCCTCTATTTCAATGGTATCGGCAAATCTTACTTTTCTCTTACAGTTCGTTTCAGTAAAAAGTTGGAATAAACTGGTTCGGAGAAAAAAGAAAGATTTGCCGTAACCTGTGTAAAGCAGAGGGGGAAAGTGTGGAGAGAAGGGAAATTACATAACTTTGAGACACCTATTCTATTTACAAAGAGATTAGTTAGAAAAAAAGCGCATGAGCTAAAGAATTCCCTTGCAATAAAATAATGCTAGTTTTGGCAAGCTTTCCCATTTTCTAAAACAATTAAGGGTGGTAAATTAGATTGAATGGTTTTTGAGAGCTGTTTCAAGTATAATCAGTGCAGGCAGCATGTAGTGGCTAAAGTTACACCGGTTTTAGGCAACATGCGGTGGATAAAGTTAAACCGGTTGTATATTAGTCATGTTTCTGAATTTTTCTGAAAGACAAAGTAAAGAAAGTATTAGTCAATACCATATTTTCAAGGTCTAGAATTAGGTCCGGAAATTATTTCCTAGCCTCTAATAAAGCACTTAACGATATTATTACTATAAGTTTTGAAACTGGGAAAAGTCAACTTATAAGCTACAACGTTAACCGCTAATACGTTAACCACTAATAAGTTTAATAAGTTAACCTTTTAAAACTTACTGTACTTTTCTTATTTTAGTTCCGCATTCATTTCTCTCTTATTCTGACTAGCGTTGATCTTATATGTTAAAGGTTCAAGAAGATACTGCCGAGAAGTATCCAACATTAGATGACCAGTGTTAATAAGTAGAAGTTAACTAAAGATGATTAAAAGTATATTTATTATCTTCCTCTCATTCACGATGCTTGAGTCCAATGGTTGAGTTTAGTCATACAAGGTTCAGACGTCTGGAAAAATAAATTTATGAAGATGCAAATATGTTTATAAATTTATCTTTCCCCGGATTTTTTTCCAGTTCGTAAATTTATTAACGATACAATAAGCTCAAATTTAACTTAATAAAGCAGGTTCAATACCATTAGTTTTCCTGTATATTTTTGTTTAGTATATTTGTTTATTTTTTAAAGCAAATATACTTATAAAAACAACAGAAGTATACTCTTTTTTAATGCTTTTTTATATTCTTCTGATTACTTTGAATAGAATTTTCTTTCGTCTTATAATTGTTTCTTGTTAGGATTTTCAAATGTATAAAAAATTTAATGATTTGCTTACCTTTTTCACTAAATATACTACTCCTAATGATACAAGCGTAGTGGCCACATAGTAGCACCGGTCATCTTCTTTTAAAGATTTTAACATGGTCATTAACCACTGAGGAGCAATATCAGAGAATGTACCTAGGAATAATATCAAGGAATAAATACAAGAGAAATTTTGAGAACAAATTTGAAAGTATTTATACAAATTCACTAACAAGACTAAATATATTTCAGGATCTGAATTATTTAGTTTGATTAGATGAGTTTTTTTTTCACAATTAAAATACTTCGAAAAAAAAACCTTTGCTAAACAGAGAACAAGCTGAGAGACTACCTTATTCTTGAGTTTTTGATTAGCAAAATTAATGACGTAAGCATGATTCTTTCAAGAAATATTTAAATAAATATTTAAATAAATTTCATCTTGCAGTGAGTATTGTTTTATAAAGTAACCTGGTCTATCAAGGTAAGGTGATAACTTTTAGCTGACGAGCATACGGACGGTAATTGCTGTTTTTTCGAAGCTCTGTCGTCTAGGAAAATAAAAGAGCCACATAATTTAAGTGGGCTAACATAATAAATGGGCTGGTCACATCATTCGAATGAACAGAGAGCGTTCGACAAACATAATCTTTTCGGCTCAGCCCATCGGATCAAGGCCCAGAGGTCGACCAAAGCTGAGATGGGCCGACTGCGAGGAAAGAGACTTTTCAGTCTTAAGAGTCTCAAACTGGAAGACAACAGCCAGGCGGAGGCAGGCCTGGAGGAAGTTGATTGAGAAGGCCAGGGCCCACCCGGGGCTGTCATGCCATTGAGGAAGGAAGGACATAATTTAAGTGCCTCACATTTGAAGCAATGCGGTGATTTTAAGCTAAATCTTGTTGAGAGGCATTATTTGGGTTTTAGAACAGACCGGACAAATAACTGAAATATTTTAAAAGTTATTATTTTTTTAAAATATCCAATTTGGAGACATTTTTCGACCTAGATGAAAATAAAAATCACTGCCTTATTCTCAGTTTTTGCAAATTTTTTATGAGCCCAAGTAATTCAGTGTAAGTTTTTAAACATTAAAAAATTAGACCACGAACGCTCTTTTATTTTCACAAAACTGTGGCTTTTCTTCATATTGACGTCTTGTGCAATTTTCAAACTAAGCGTTGTCATCTCCGGCTTTAGATGAGCTAAACTTAACCCAACAGTCACGAGTACCAGTTGTAAAATTACAGCAGTTATAAAACCAGCATATTATTCGCAAAAAAGCATTTTAAATTACGACGGAGCATTCGAAAAATCAGCCTTATATTCAGCATGCCAAACAAGAACAAAGTAAGTGCTAAATGTCTCGATATCAAAAGATACTTTATCTAAACACAAAAAAGAAAAAAAAAAAACAGAAAATCATGGGAAATAGAAATTATTCAGGATTCCCTGATTTTGTAGATATCAGGGTAACCCAAAAAATTTTAACTTCAAAAATAATGAAGAAATAAGGAAAAACAGAACTGTAGAAAGTGTTGGGATTATTAATTAGTTAATCGATTTGTACAATGGTTTAACGTTTTCCATTGAATTTCAAATGTGAAAATTTTTTGACGTATTTAAATAAGAAAAAGTTTCAGGCATGATTTACTTTAGCGTTTGCTAGTTGATATTGTGACACTTAATATTGTTACTCGAAACATTATTTAAAAGAAATTTTAATTTCGGTTAATCTAAAATTTGTACGAAACTATTGAATAGTTTAATACGTTATACGAAATTATTGAATAGTTATTGAATAAATTGTGACACTTAATATTGTTACTCAAAACATTATTTAAAAGAAATTTTAATTTCGGTTAACCTGAAATTTGTACGAAAGTATTGAAGAGTTTAATAGTAATTATTAATAAATAGCAACTATGTAATTATTGACGAAGTTTAAATTAAAATTCAGGTTTATATTTTCTTTGAAAATATATATATGAATCGATATTTTTCTCAGGTTTAGGTATTACTATTCAAATATACGCATAATAAAATGATTTAAATTTTTTACTAGGCATCTTTTGTATGATGATTTTATCTTCCTATAGTTTCACAATTAGCTGTTAACATAATATGAATTAATTGATATTAGTAGAATACAGTTTGTATTTTCAATCCCACGTTCTTTGGAGCTTCAAATAAATTTTATTTTTGACTTCATCAGAGGAAGTAAATTGAGTTTCTTTAAAAATATTTTACACGTTCAAAAATTATCTTGAGAATATCAAAGAATATCATTAAGTTTATTTTGCAGATTTGTCAAAACAAAAACAATACAAAAAAAAATGTAGTATGAAATGTAGCCTTGAAGTTTTAAGTAGTTATGAAATTTAAATTAACTTTCTAGCTTTGATACTCAATAAGAGCTGATATAAAGGGGAATAAATTTATTTTGGATATTTGTCAAAACAATAAAATTTGGTACAAAGAATGTAGCCTTGAAATTTGAAATACTGATGAAATTTAAATTAACCTTCTAACTTTGGTACACAATAAGAGCTGATATAAAGAGTAAGAAGTTCTGTTGCTCACAAAAAAAAATCTTTTCTGTGGTGTCAATGAACATATAAGTACAAAAATTATTTTTTCATTTCAGATTATTCGCATTTAAAAGGACTGTTGTTGTGGTAATTTATTTACGTCCCACTAGAGCTGCTCAATGGGCTATTGGCGACGGTCGGTCTGGGAAGCATCCCTGAGGATGATCCGAAGAGATGCCATCGCAATTTTGATCCTCTGCAGAGGGGATAACACCCCAGTTTCGGTAGCCCGGAGACCTGCACGCAAAGTCAAGCACTTCACTGTAGAATCGTTTAACTAGGACCAATACCGCACACCCTCGATCCCATCGTAGGCTGATCAAAGTGGTCATCAACCCACACACTGACCACAGCTAGTGATGCTTTACTTAGACGATCTTCTGGGAACCGACTCTTAACGATTACTCCTCTGCGGGATCTTGAAGGGACTGCTTTCAGTAGTTTTTGACTTATTGCTTGCTATTCTTTGATCTTGTTGACCACAGTTGATCTTGAAAGAAGTAGTTGAATGTTGAGTTTATTAACCAAAGAGAAGAAATTGACTAAATAGCTCTAAATGTAAATAGTATTAGATCAAACGGTGCGGGAAACCAAGTCTGACGTAAAAACCTTGAGACGTGAACCTTAAGAGGGCCTTCTTAATCCGACATAACTCAACTGTCGAAAGGGTTTAGACAAGGAAGAAAAATTCTAAATATGCTTTTAATCCTTTTTATTTAATGTTTTCAGATGAACTGATGATGGATGTTTACACTGTTTGGCAGTATCCTCCAATGCATGTAAAATACAATTAATGCATGCAATATAATAAATGCAGGTTTTGATACATGTAAATTACTTCTGAGTCGAAGATTTAGCCCTGGCCCCTCCCGACGGGTTTTCGATTCTTTAACCACCTGACTGCCACGGAAAGTTTTAAAAAAATTAATTGAAATGAAATGAATGCCACTTTACAGAAAAATTTAAAAACTGGCAGAAAAAACCTACGGAGACAATGCGTCCTAATTAATTACAATCAACCGAAAATAGTTGTAAATTAAAATATCTGCGTTACAATTGATCAATTGAATTACTAAAATTTACGTGAAATTAAACCCTTTATAATTTACTATAACGTCATAAAATGGTTGTTATCCCTTTATAAATATGTTCAGACGAAAGCAACTCCGAATTAACAAATTGTTTGCATTATACTGAAATAATGTCTATCAAAAATGCATCGAAAAGAGAAGAGATTTAGAAATATTCAAGATTTATTAAATTCACGTTTTTTTTTTTTTTTTGAAAAAATGGTCCGAAAAAATGCATAAATCTACCATTGAATAGTAATAAATGATAATATTTTAACTTACTCGGAACGTAAGACATAATGGTTATTCCTGCTAAGATTGAAAAAACATTACAAAAAAATCATTTATAGTCAAACGTTCTTATAAATTCTTTCTAATCTTTGAAATTCTTCTTGAATTATTCACTTTTTGGCATACAGTTGCCAACGAACTTATGACAATGGTAGCATTAACCGACTTCATGTTCTACGATAAAATAAAATAAAAATTGTGTGTACTTTCATGATAAGTGTTTTGATGACTTAAATTTATGATCAATAAGATAACGATAAGAGGTTCTGAATCAAAATTCTTTTTATAGGAATTGTTAACTTATTTTCAAGGACATCAGTTGCTGAGAGTATATTTTATTTTATGACTCATTCAATACGGAAGTACTGACATTAGGAATAAAATCAAATTGTTGGATAAGAGTTTTGTGCAGGGTGTCTGAAAAGTACAGTGATAAAATTCAAAGAATCTTAACCCTTTGACACAGAGGGGACACCGGTGTCCCTTTTACTTATGTTTTTTCTGACATTCTACAAGCATATTTTGTATTTTTTAATAATAAAGTTTATAGTTAAGTTTAATAGTTACTAAAAAGTTTTTTTAGACTATCAGAAATATATTTGTGTTAATATATAAAACCAAAACAAAGCAGTTTGAAAGAAATATATTTTTTTTCATTTTCAATTCAAAAATGTCTCTATAATAGATTTTGCAAATTAAAGAAATTTCATTGATGAATTAATAATAAAGTTTATTTTAAATCTAAATAACTGCAAATAGTACAAATTTGAAAAATTATTGCTTGGAAGATTTTACCTTTAACGCTTATTTTGATCTAAATTACTACGAAATAAAATATGTAAGAAAATAAGTTCAATAGAAATTCTGCGTTCAACGATTAAAAGAATGGAAAAATTAATTTTTGTCAAAGAATGTACAAGCAAATCTAGTTCGCTAATCATTGCAAGCGCATTATACAGGTTGATAAGTTTACACAGGTTGATACGTTTACTGGTTGATAAGTTTACAGGTTGATAAGTTTACAGGTTGATAAGTTTACAGGTTGATAAGTTTACAGGTTGATCATGGGATTAACTTGTGGGATGAGAGGAAAAATATGCTTATTTACTTTATTGTTTCTTTGTAGCAATACAATATTCCGCAATACAGTGCAGAAATTGTGACTGTCAACAGCATTTGAGGTTCATACTTGATATCGTCGTAAAAGACGTTCCCTCGAACACGTTAAAAAATGCATGCATTTAGCGCATACTTACTGCTGTAGCACCTTATCTACACAAGTACTTAAAAAAGGCACCTGTCTGATGTCACTAGTCAATAAAAAGGCTTGCCAAATTTTCACCATTGCCGATGTTAAGAACGCCACAGCGCAAGAATTAGCAAAAATAACTGCTAGAGATAAAGAACCACTGATCACGCTCATGAATTTTTGCCTAACTTGAAGTTGTCGTTGCTGTTGATAGCCAATTTACATGATAGCCTGAAAACAGACTAAGACAATCGGAGATGAAGATCAGATTATCATTCGTTTAATGCTCTTACACGCCTGATTTCAGGCTTTGTGCAAATGGGGAGGGAAAGATAGGCGTGCAACTGTGCCTTTCAGCGAGTCGACGGGAGTCATGTTCATCAGATGCCTCCCTCAAAGGAAATCAAAACTGGATAGAATCTGGTAAACGAGGTAACCATAAGGCTGGCCCATCACACTCAATCCATCACTACGTAAAATTTGCATCCAAGTAATTCAACATCATCAGGTCGCAATGAGCTGGCGCAACATCATGCTGGGACTACATGTGATAATGAATGATATCTAGAACATCCGGAAACAATTTAATATACACAGCAGCTCATTTGCGACTGACAAACTTCTGCAGATGAAATGGATCATGGTTTGCGAGGGTCACTAGGGTTCTCTGCAGGATCTTATATTCCTATGCAAAAATTCGCTCTTTTTAGTACGCTTAACCATACCTCCAAGTTTCTCTCATGGTTGCAGAATCACCCTGTACACTAAAATGTATTGGTAATACATTTTAGTGTACATATACATATTGGTTTTCTCTAAAAAAATAGAGACAATGTAGCACCAAAACTGATCGCACCGTTTTGATATACTTCAAATCAAACTACTTGACCAAAAATTTCTAATATCTGTTCTGGAATTATTGAAAATGTAGTTTCGGTTATCAAGTCAAACAACCAACTAGTTAACTCTCGAGTTTATAGAAGACAGCTGTTGTAATAAGTTTATAGTTACCATTTTCTGGTTCACCAAGATTTTCAAATTATGTCTCTTCAGCTCCCTAGGATTTACGTTCTATTATTTGTTCTAAGAAAGAGGCACTTTTGAAAGAACCTGTCGATATTCAAGTTTTTGCAAAATCTCCAAATCCTGACCGATTACTATTTTTAATAAGTTAATTATTGTAAAATGTAGCTATGTGCGATATTTAATTGGAAGTAATTTATTGTAAAATCACTGCATTATTGAAGATTTTTTTTCTTCAAAAAAATCAAATTCAAAAGCGGGAAAATATCTGTTTATATCTTTTAAATATAAAGTACAGTAAAACCTGTTTGCTTGACAACTCTTGTATGATAATTTTTTGTCTTAGTTGATCTTAAGATCAAGTACAAAACTGGCAAAAATAATTAAATTTCCTCTTTATAAATTGATCACTTATTCCTATAAACTTTCAAATTGTTGTCTCACATGTGGCCAATTTGTAATTTTCATTGGGTAAGAAATTTTCTAAAATTTATTAAAATTTGCATTCAAGCTTTAAATTTTCTTTCAATATTAATATATAATTTTTGAAATTTTTTCCCCCTCTGTATAGGACAGGTGAATAAAGAAAGCGATAAAAGTTGAAAAAGAAAACGATTTTGTAAATGACGGAGTTTGAATTCGTTCTTCAATAATACATTTTAAACATTTGATGAATGAAACAAGTTATTAAGACACTTTTAAGTAACATACTTTTCAGAAATTTGTTTTTTGTTGACAAAAATATGAATGCTCTTTTAAAATGCACTATCGTTTTATTTTACAAGGGCTTTCATTAAAAAATTATTTAAACAAAATAAGAATTCAGAGTTCATGAGCGCGATGGAGGAAAACATAAATTTTTAAACTAATACAAAATATGAAACATTTTTAATCTTTAAAAATAATATAATTAATAATTAAACACTTGACATGAATACTAAATTTTAAAATTTTATTTTCGAAATCTTTTATTAGAATTTATATCAAATCATTGAATATTCGCTTCCTCATAAACTGCTATTGTAATAAACTGCCCAAAACATAAATTTCAATTCAAAATGCACATGTAAATAGTGCATTTATGAGTCACATAGCTTTGTAATAAATCAAATTTAAAGTAATTCAAGAGAAATAAGCTATTTCTTATTTATTTTCTTAAATCTATCACTATGATTTTTAAATTAAAGCATTGAACATTTGCTACCTCATAAAACTTATCTTTATAAACCTCCTAAAATACAAATTCAAAATTAAATTGTACTTTTGTAAATAGCATATTAAAAAGTAAAATTTTTTTTATAATAAATAATATTTTAAATAATTAAAAAGGATTAAGCCTTTGTTTTTTTCATTTGATATAGAATGTTACCTTTCGCAATATCACTGCCAAGATATAAAACCTGCATTCCACTGAATTTAAATGTGTAGAGTAATGGATGTTTTCCAATAAGCACTATGACGATTCACACCTATTTAAATTCACTGCTTTCTGTATAAAGTTAGAAAAGTACTACCGATTATTCAAGAACACATTAAAAGTTGTAAAAATTGGTCCACGTCACTTGCATAACTAGTTTGAAAACATCCGATAAATACACTGATACTTTAATATTTCGTTCCACAGTGAACTGATCGCAAGGACACGGTTCTCAGTAGAACACCGAATTCAAGCATCACTGGCTGCGGTCAGTAAGTGGGTGGGTGACCACTTTAATCAGCTTGCAAAGGGATCAAGGGTGCGTGGTATCGGTCCTCGTTAAACTGTTCTACCGTAAAGTGTTCGACTTCGCTCGAAGGTGGTCGGGTAAACAAAGCGGAGGAGCCATCCCCTTTGCAGAGTATCAAAATTGCGATGGCATGTCTTCGGATCATCCTCCGGGATGTTTCCCAGATCGTCGCCAATAGCCCATTGCGCAGCTCTAGTGCGACGTAAATTAACAACAACAACAACAATCTACTTGATGAAGTCGTGCTTGTACCGTAAAACTTATAAGCTCTTGTGCAATTGAGCTTACAAGCCTGCACGCATGTGTACCAATAAATAAATAACGGTCAACTGGTCACCACGTCGTTTTGAAGAATCGGTTGTTGTTGTTGTTAATTTACGTCGCACTGGAGCTGCACAATGGGCTATTGGCGACGGTCTGGAAAACATCCCGGAGGATGATCCGAAGACATGCCATCACAATTTTTGATCCTCTGCGGAGGGGATGGCACCCCCGATTCGGTAGCCCGACGACCTGCGTGCGAAGTCGAGCACTTTACGGTCGCACAGTTTAACGAGGACCCATACCGCACACCCTCGGTCCCAACGCACACTGATCCAAGTGCTCACCCACCCGCACACTGACCGTAGCCAGTGATCGCTAGGTGATCTGCTAGGAATCGTGTCTTAAAGAATCGGAGTTGGCGCCCATGTTTTAAATAAATTTAACTAAAAAGGAATTAAAAAACTTTTATACTACTTTTCGCTCATAACTTAAGGTTTTAAAACTGTATTATTTGTGCTTTTTTCCCTTTGTTTAGCTATATTCTTCGATAGTACTAAGTCAACGAGTTCTCCACATGGTTGGAAAAGTGTTCTCTTAAACCTAACTGAGAGACACGTTTTTATTCTGTTTACCTACGTGTTCCGCAATGGACTGATCGTAAAGACATGGTTCCCAGAACACTGAAGTCAAACATCTCCGTCAACAATACCCCATTGTGCAGATTTAGTGCGACGTAAATAAAATACCTACCACTTTTATATTTCAAAGCGGATGAAAATTATTTATTCAGGGAAAAGTTTTGTCCATCACCTAAACTTTCTGAAACTTGAAGGCTGAGGGTTCAGTTTCTCTCTTACAATTGAATGTCCCACTCGTTCTTTCTTCGTGTTGATTTTTTGTCAGTTAGTCAAGGAGAATTAGACATTCGAATTGCCCCAGCCTATTACAGGTTTAATATCTATTGATTGCCTCTTACAGTCCAATTTTCACCGAACATATTTACCGCATCTTCCCCGCAAACACACATGTTGAAATGCGAGATGAGTTTTGCAATCTCAAACCGACGCCCGCAACAGCAAGTCTAAAAATATCGAAGGTCCTATAATGTGGCCACTTAAAATTATGAAATTAAATAATTCTGAAGCAGAGAAGCCGAGAGATTAAGCCTTTTTCTCTAAAAAAGAAAAAAAAGTAAGTTTGTTTCTTAAAACTACAAAAGAACCGTCCCGCTGTGGACTGGTCGTTAAGACACGGTTCCCAGCAGATCACCGAAGTCAAGCATCACTGGCTGCGGTCTGGGTGCTGGTGGGTGACTACTTGGATCAGTCTGTGTAGGGACCGAGGGTGTGCGGTATTGGTCCTCGTTAAACTGTTCAACCGTAAAGTGCTCGACTTCGCGTGCAGGTTTCGCGTGAAGGTCGTCAGGCTTCCGAAGCGGGGGTGCCATCCACTCTGCGAAGGATCAAAATTGTAATGGTATGTCTTCGGATCATCCTCAAGGATGTTTCCCAGACCATCGCCAGTAGCCCATTAACCAGCTCTAGTGCGACGTAAATGAACAACAACAACGAGTCTTTGCTTGTAGTAGTAGTCGTAGTACTTATTTATGAAGCAATAGTGCTGCCCAAAGTGCTACGCTAATAGAAATTTTCCTGAGGATGATTCGAAGATATGCCCTCGCATTTTTGATTCACTGCAAATTGCCCGGTATGATAACCTGGTGACCAGCGCTCGAAATCGATTACTTTACTATAGAACTCCTTAAAAATGGCTGATGTTGTCCTATTGCAGACTGTTCAAAGTTTTCACCCGCCCACTAACTGATCTCTGGAAGTGATGCTTTGCTTTGGTCATCTACAGGGAACAGCTTCTTACGCTTAATTCACTGCGGGACGAAGAATATTTGTAAGAAGTTCTTGAAAAGGAAAGGGTAAAGTTTTCCAAATAAATAACCTGTTCATGTCTACCACCATCTTAGAGTTGAGCCCACAGATTACAAAAATTCTCTTTTATAGTTTTGACAGACACTAGAGGATAGTTATTATCACGAAGCAAGAGAGCTGATTGGAATTTGTAATTTATAAAAGCAAAAGCAAAAAATAAATGGAACAAAAAAAATGTATGAAATTTTATTAATTTTTTTTATAAAAAGTGCGTACAAATATTAAGTAATTATTGATTTCATGAAATAAATAATAACAACAAAAATTAACAATTTCTTTGATGACTTCTATAAAAACTTCGGCAATAGCTTATTGCTATTATCTCAAAATTTTTCATTTAATCTGAAAAACTCTTCTAATAAATTCCCGAGCAATTCACCTGAAAAGAAACTAAAAAAATAATAACAATTACAAAATGTCAGTGTACGTTGTAAAAATGTTAAAATTGTTATTGTCATCTGCCATATTTTCATCATCTGCCATAAGTGAAATTCATTATTTATTTACAAACAGATCCACTTATTCTCTGATTTGCTTCCTCTGTGTTCTTTACTATATCTAGAATCATTCATTATTAAAGATAAACAAGAGGATTTTAAACTAACTTTGCTGTCGTATAACCCTCTGAAGAGTAGAATACAATTGGAATTTGAGTAAGTGGAATAAAATATTGTACAAAGATATTATGATCTATGCACTCGAAAATGGTGTTAAGAATGATTTAGTAGCTTTCGTGGTCATAACTACAGTGATGAAAATTCAAATTTTCAAAAAGCAACACACACTTTTTTTTTATCAAAACGTAATATTTACAGTAAAAATCCTAAATTAGAGTTGGAACGATATTTTTAGCATATGAAATTGCAACGCTAGATATTTTCCAAACCTCACCATTTTTCATGAAATCTAAGGAAAAGAGAGTGTTGCCAAAATCTTTAAAAACAGAGGAATCTTTGTTTTTTTTTCCTGTGTTGTCTGTCTGTTTTTGTTGTGCTTAAATGTTTTTATTACACTCCTTTCTCGTGTTACGAGAAATGGTGATTAATGGCAAAAATTTAACGTCGTAATTTCTCGTGCCAGAAATACCGTTGCAACTCCAATTTAAGTTTTTTATTCCAAGAATTAATTACATTTTGATCAAAATAGTGGGTGTTGTTAACTGAAGATTTAGAAATTTTGTAACTGAAACTGTAACCGAGAGACCAACGCAATATTTTTTAACCCATAGATCACAGTCACTATGTAGAAAATTTTATTCCGTTCACTCAAACGGTATTCTCCTTAGAGGATGATATGTCGGCATATAGTTATTTTATGCTTACCCAGTATTATATGGCTATAGCTAAACTGTATATTATCCTTTCTCAGCTTAATACAGGTTCAGAAAGCTAAATAAAAAATAATTTCAATAGATTGTTGGCGAGCCGCAATGGCTCAGGGGATAGAGCGATCGCATTCCAATGAGGTGAACCGGGTTTGAATCCCGGCAATAGCTGGTCGATATGAATTCTGCTTCCGGCTTGCACCAACCATTGTGCTGACGCGAAATATCCTCTGTGGTAGACGGATCATGGGTTAGAGGCCACTTGCCGTCAGGCCAACCATGGGAGGTTCTCGTAGTCTTCCTCTCCATGTAAATGCACGTTAGTTCCATCAAAACGTTCTCCACGAAGGCTAAATTTCTCCCAATACTTGATCCAGGAGTTTTCTTGTCTTCTGGATTGGGTTCAAATTACAAGGCTGCGTAGTTTAACATTAGTTGTCGTAAGCCCAAAAATTGGGTCGGCTGTTCAACGACGGTTATAAAATATGAAATAGATAGTTGGCATAGCAATAGTTAAGAAATTAGATTAGGCTGTGACAGGTTAAAGATTCCAGTTGTAAAATTCAAATTGCAATTTAGATTCACATTAGTAATTTAGATTCATTATCAACCATGCCTGAAATGGTTGACTTTATGTACCCAATTAAAAATATGAATTGAATTACAGAAACTTGTGTATCCAGTATAAGTTATGAATGAAATACTAGAACTTGTGTATTTACTAAAAATTATAAATGAAATGGTAGACCTTGTGCGTGTATACAGTAAAAATTTTAAATTAAATGGTAAATCTTGTGTATCCAGAACAAATTATGAATGAAAAGCTAGACCTTGTGTATCCACTTCGATTTACGAATGATACGGTAAATCTCGTGTGTTCGCAAAAAATTATAAATTACATTATATAATCTTGTGTATCCAGTGCAAATTATAAATTAAATGCAAGACCTTGTTTATCCACTATAAAATATGAATGAAATGGTAGACCTTGTTAATCCACAACAAATTATGAATGAAATGGTAAACCTTGTATATCCACTACAAATTATAAAGTAAATGGCAGAATTTGTGTATTCATAACAAATAATAAATTAAGTTAATTATATCATGAGTAGATCACGTAAATTTCTTTCTAAGAAAAGTTGAAGAGGCTAAAAGAGTTCTTGCTTGCTTATTACTTTAATTGAAAAACTTGGGTCAATATGATAAGAAGCAACATTTTCAAACTGTTCAATAGAGCAATTTTTGATAAAGATACCACAATTTCCATGCAAACAATAAGATGTTCATATAAGTATTGTCCTGTTATCTAAAGGAAAGCCCAAGTTCTTGAAAAGTTTCCGTGATACTAAAAATCAGATTGACGTAATAATCTCTTG